AAATGAATAGTTTTTTGATCTGTGAATAGTTTTTTTGATCCCGGAAATAGTTTTTTTATCCCTTAAACAGTTTTTTTGTTGACCCCTCTCCCGGTGCAGTTATGGTGCCAACACAAGGACCTGCACGTCTGCGCAGTCAGTCACCAGCGTTTGACTCTCAAACGTCATTGCTGCTTGCAGGCGGCTCCGGCTACCGAGCCACAATCATGTTTCTACCCGTCACAGAGCGCACAACACCTCAACTGGCCTGCGAGACATGGGGCCGGAAGTGTTTTTGGACGCGGCAGTGTGTTTCGACCTGCCGCATTGAGAAGTACACTTCACTGTGATAGACGTTGACTAGACTTAGACACTTGCCTCTACAAGCATTCAGGAAAAAAATGATGTGATCAAGCCCCGCCTAACGTTCTTCAAGGCGTCTTCCGCACCTTCACTTAGACTCCGATACAGGCAGGGCAAGCACAAGTGAACCATTGCGCGGCATCGTTCAAACGAATTTCAGCACATGTTGCAACCGGGCAGCTGGTGTCCATGGAATCCACCCCCAGCACTTGGGGAGTCAGCCCACCATCCAAGGAAGCCAGGGAAGCCAGTGGCCTAAGAAAGCGGCTTGGGAACGCCAAGGCCCAAGGCTGAACTGCGCTCAAAGCCAAAGCGTGTAGCGGCTTGCACTCGTGTCAGCCCCGGGCTGCAAGGCAGGCTCTCGGGGGTCCTCCTCGTCGTCACTGACGTAGATGACCTGTTGCGCGTGCTCTTGCGGCTTCATGACAAAACCCGGAGCCTGCCGCAGCCTGCCTGATAGCCGCCCGTGAGGCAAGGGAAGCCGCAGCATCCGATCACCTCGACGACACAAGATCACGCAAATGCTGTCACTTGTCTGCCGATTCCCATGGTCTCGAGGTCTGCAAATTGTTGAAGAAATGCCGATCCGGCCAGGATCTGCAGTCGACTGCAGGTGGAACCAAGCCAAGCCCTGGACTGAGCAAAGCGTGCAGCCCTAGCACAGCAACATGAGCAAGCATGACGCAAGCAGAAATGCACCTCATCACATCATCCTACCTAAACACAGCAACCGAAGACGTTGCGACTTCATGCTGTGCCGCTCTCGTCATTCCCATGAGCTTTCATCTCCACCATTGTTGATTGATTGGTACCTAGAAACCAAGGGTTTTGTCGGCACAGGTAGCAATTCTGTGGCAAGCTGATCATAATTTCGAGTCCCCATGCTGCGTTAGAACCCAATCTCGAAGGTTTCAGCAACTGAGCAGATCCGATTTCAAGGAGCATACAAGCACAAGTTGAAGAAGCGAGAGATTCTGCTATTTAGGCGAAAACTCGACAACGAAGAGAGCCTCTTGATGCGTGGATTTTTGGGGGTCGATGCTCTCATGCACATGAAGTCCGAGGCCCCAACTTCTGTCGGCTGCCTTAGGAGGGAGCATGCAATCACACACCACTGACAGTGGCATGACAGCCTCCTTTGCCCTTCAGGGAGGCTTGACGCTCGGGTGGATCTGCAATCTCTGCTCCCGATACAGCTAACCCACGCTCAGCAACAACACTTCTTCATGAGCCTATGCCCCGCACGAGCTGCTCCGGATGATCTGTCTGGCTTTCTTTGTAGTGACATGATCTGATCGCCTCACCCTACCCTCAAGGCCTGCAGATCCTCTTGCTGTTTGGAGAAATTACCTCCCGCTCGGCAACGCTCACTCTCGACTTCATGCTCCAAATTGTGCCGAATCGGCCAAATGGCTCGATTCTGTTAACTCGTGTCAGTCTCGAGACGGTAGGGGCTCTTGCTGACGTTTGCTTGCATCCCAGGCACTTGAAAAGCTCGCCCTTCTTCAATTCGGGCCTGACGGGCGTGGCGCTTCTGTTCTGCTCACCCCTGACAATTCCAGACAAACCAGCGCCAAGCCCAACCACAACTCGGGCACACACAGCTTCGGCCCATCTATCATACGGTCACCCATCGGCGTCCATCGCCCTCGTTCATCTACGTCCTGGAGCAAGCTGTGGCTGGTACCCGTACAACATACTCCTGTTCAACACACAACTACTGCGTATATTTCAGCGGGGCGCATAAGCAAACTCAGGTTTCAGCGTCACCTTGGCATTCACATGTTTTGCAAGCCAGTGGCACTTGACACAGCAAGGCTCAAAGTTAGTCTGCACCATTGCATTCAAGCTGCCGTCATGTATCCTGACTCTCTCTCCCTCTCTCGCTCTTTCTCTCTCCCTGCATACGAATGCGCGCATGCCGCGGTCGCTCTCTCTCTCTGTCGCTGGCTCTCGTCAACAAGACAAGCTCCGGCACTCGACTGGAACGATGGTAGGTCCACTGGGTCTAGCGAGACACAGGCAGCTGATGTTCTGTCCGTCTTGCTGACCTACATAGCATACTTAACTTAGACTACCGAATAACTGTCGGCGCAAATCGGACCGTGGTTGCAGTCATTAATTCAGGAATCAGGAAGCACACGCAAACGGCTTTTGGCTCGACTTCTCACGAAGTCAATGCCATCTCTGTGTTACCAAAAAAACTCCCGGACGGCGGTTGCCAGTCGAATTTCGCTGCGAATTTCTGCCCAGAGTCTGCTTTCCGGTTGCTCATCCATCAGGGCGAAGGGATCGAAGGCTAGTTCCGATTGCACCGGCTCACCCTCCTTCCACCACTGTGACGGTTATTCAACGAGCAAAGCGGCAACTGTGTCGCAATGACTCCTTTCTGTGCTGAATCGGCTCGTCGTTGGGGGTCTTCCAGAAGACGGAGTAGACGGTGACAGGAATGGGAAACCTGAAATTGGCAATGGCATAGCTAAATGATGCTAGATTGCTGTAGCTGTCACTAGTCGTTTGTACGCTTAGAGATGACATCCTGAAGCACTTGACTGCATCCGGGTTGCATGACCGACCTGAAACAGCAAGCACTGTGTTTGCACAACTGAACATCTCACGTGACCTTCTGTATCTGCTGCGCAAGAAAACCATCGTGTCTGAGGCAGGGGGCATTAGGTTCGCCCACTGTGCTCGTCGAAGGCCCTTGAGGCAGCGGAATGCAGAGAGGCACGAGGTGAAGACCACCTCAGAGTGTGGTCAACGAAGTTGCAACGTTACTTCTGAAGTCACCATGCAGACAAGCTACCCCAGCGCCGATCGCGAAGATTCGAACCAGGCTGGCTGCATTGATGAAGTAGGAGCAGCCGCAGTAGCCTGGGATTGCACTGACAACGGCGAAGAACGACCGACGCTGTCCGAGCTCATCGAACAAACACGGACAGGTCATGCAAGAGATCTGCGCCAAACTGCAGGTTCCAGGATGGTAGTCTTGCACCTCGAAGACCTCGTCATGCTCGGCCCCAGGGAAAGCCGGACAGCAATACTTGGCAAGATCCACTGCAAACATCTCCAGATCTTCACTGTCTGCGGACAAGCTTCCAGTGCATACCGTGGCCGCTCGTTCAGATTGACTAAATACACGAGCCTCATCGCAGCAAGTCATACTGACTTCTGAGAGGGCCCGGCATTCCGGCATCCAAGAAGCGGGATGATCGCCATCGTTAGTCCGAACACGGCCGTAGCCTGGGTGCACATGGACTTGCCCACATCAAGTGCCCACACAGCCCACAAATGCTCGGTGCAAACCTTGGGTGCCCACAATCAGTGTCAGAAATACTGCAAAGCGGCTCAGGCGGACCTCAGCATCACGGAATGCCCACCAGTGCAAGCAAAGGCATCAGGACTTCAGCACAAGTTCGAACAATCCTGCAGTAGAACCTTGCGACTTGATCACGCCGCCCCGACACAAGCCGGCAAGGCTGCAGCGGAAGATGGGCATGCAATCAAGGCACAGGATAGCGGACGTACAAGAGCAGCAGCGCGGGAGTCACAATGAACACAAGGAACAGCAGTGCCCAGGCGGTAATGATTGGGGTCCTGAGTTCAGATCCAGCCTCCGAAACCGCCTTGTCGCTGCTGAAGCTCACAGCTTTGAGGCCGGGAGGCAGGATGATCCCTATCAGAAGTGCCAGTTTGCTGCCGGTGCCCTCGATGGAGAACAGAGCTCGAAGTATCGTAATACCTGCATCGGCTCACGGACGGTGCAGGCATGCACGGGCTGCCCCTCGTCCAAAAACCACCCGTTTACCAGTGCGACACAGGGCCTGAAAGCTTCGTGAAGCGTCGAAAGATGGGAAAGCCTTAGCTTGAAAAGCGTACAACATGCTCGTTAGATTCGTTTAGCGGGATCTCGAACTAATCACTCCACTCGCTTTCCAAGAGGCCTTGGTTGAAAGCTGGCCAGTCGAGGACATAGTTCTGCTGAGATCTGCGGTGCTGGGTAAGGCAGGAGATGCTTGCATGACAGGCTGTAGTACCTGTAGTGGAACCTCTCATGAGGCCTAGAAAGGAGCGCGAGGTCGTGGATGGCAAAGCCAATCAAGTTTAGGATCCTCGAAGCAAGTTTACAGCTCCAGCAAGGTGACTGAATCAAACTTCCACCTGCTGCAGAGTCGCCCTAGTACTAAAAATGTATATGCGAACGCATACCTTGGCAGGACACAGGCAAGCAATTTCTGCACACACAGTTGCATGCACAACGCGCTTAGCGAGGGCCCGCCAATTGCCCCATAGATGCAAGAGCTCGTTGTTGACGCTTACCTTCTCACCGAGACCGAGCGGATACCCGAGACGGTTTTCGAACTCATGCACAGGGACGCCTCAGCACAGGAGCATGCAACAAGCAAAAACGCCTGCAGATCAAGCTGCGGGCAAGGAGCGCATGTCCTTGCAACTTTGGTCGTAGGCGTCGACCGGAAATGGAACGCATGTGTTGTTGAGCACATAGTCATCCACACCTGTTTGATACCTGCTGCTTCTGTGGCGCATCAACTGCGTGGTCGAAATTTCTCTTAACAGTACTGGTCCTTCAGGTGCACAAACTGGACGGCAATTTCCTCTCAACCCCGGCTCCCCAGGCCAGGCTGCTCCCACCATCGGCTCCACGTATCGTACTGTGTCCTTGGACTAACTAGTTGAGCACCGGCTTGAGAATGCAAATGTGGATTGGTTGCACCTGTAGGCACGGACGCCTGAGTCGCTGCCTAGTCTCCAAGAGGTGAGCTCGTTCCGACGGAGCCAGCCAGTGAGGCAGGTGAGGTTTGATTTACCAACACCTGAGCTTTAAAGCCTCCGACTCTGAAGGCTCCCCTGCGTGGCCCAGCTGCGCAAATGCGCCTCTGCCGAGGTGCTCTCCAAAGTGTAATCCAAATTGCCTGCTGACAAGCTGTCCTGAAGCATCAGCCGTTGCGGACTGCAGACCTACCTCAACAGATTTGCTGCCAAAGAACCATATACTGGTACACAACCAGTCCGATCGCTCCTGAAAGGCAGAATCATGTTCCACCTGTGTCAAACAAGACCTGAACGCATGGACATATAATCATAACAATTCATTCTCCATAGCCCTTATAGTCCAAACCCACACCCACTGCCAAGGCTCCGTTCATCATGCTCTGGATGATGACCTCGATCACCGAACCAGTCAAGACTGCTTTGCCACATGCTGTGTGTCAGCTCTTGTCAATCAACCATCAGGGACCATCAGATTCAACTACGTAGTTGTCCGAATCTTGTCAGGCGCGTCAGCGTCGCATCTGACTCTGCCAAAGGGCCCGGGTTTGCGATGGACATCGTGCCGGCGCGCCAATCCGGCGTGCCCACATGGCACTTCGCAGCAGGACGGTTTTGGCTTTGCGGTGCGGCTTCTTGGTGTGGGCTGCAGTCGTGGGGATGTGCATGAGATTAAGCGGAGTACTGGCCTGACTGCATGGCCAGAGGATGTGAGTGCCGCTAATCAGTCGCATGCTGCCTTCGAGACTCTGGTTTTCACATTGCATTCAGCAATTTGTGGTACAGCATGGTACAGCTATCCCTCAGACATGTACCTCGACAGGCCTGACTCCCTTCTTGCTGCGGCAGCACATGACATCGAAGGACAAGCAGGGAGCTCTTCGGATAGAACAGACTGCACGTGGATAAGGCGCACACCGCCTCAGATGCCCTTGGTAAAGTGGCAACACGGCAACGCACAAGACATCACCTCATAGCGCAATTGCCGATTCTAGGACGTGCAGCGGCTGGGCTTGCCGCGTTCGTTCTGGTGATGAGGCATCACTGGGCACAGATCCTGTCAGCACGATTTGCACTGAAGCTAAGTCGCATAAAGGCAAGGGCCAAGCTCCGCTAACAAGGCTGCCGGGAGACGCCTTTTTCTGAACCTTGCATTGAAGGGCAAGCGCAGTCGTCCCTGCGCGCCGAAAGGTGACATGTCTGCATCCTAGGAACCTAGACTCCCTAGTGAGCTCTGATGAGTCCATTGCACGATTGACCGCTGAGCGGGCAGGATTAGTAGGTTGTCAACGGGCCGTCCGAGCCAAGGCATGCACACGGTGGGCACGAAACCTACACTGAAATGCGAGGTCCTGATAACGAGTGGCTTCTGCATGCCCACAGCTCTGGACTCAGCTAGGTGAAAACAGACCGCCACACTTAATACTTACCACATGTGGCGGCTCGAAACTTGGCGAACGCAGAAAGAGCAAAAGGCAAAACTCACGCGAAGCTGTTGCCCTCCAGCGCACTGTACAAATCCTTCCGAGAGGGCTCCTTTGTCAGCCTCGTTACCTACTCCCTATACTCCCTATACGCAAGCGCTGGGTTCTTAGCCTGGAACTCTGCCATTGGCATAAATTCTATTTCCGTAGGATCGGAAGCACTAGGAGAACATGCAGACGCGGCACTTTCCAGCGACGGTTTGTGAAGCCAAAGCGCGTGGCTATGGAACCGTTGCAGCGCCGGCCTGTGACCAATGGAGACATAGCTGCAGAGTCGCTGCTGAAGCAACTCATACAATACAGCTTCGTTGGCCGGATCGCAGGCAGAGGTGCCCTCATCTATCAATGCCATTCTGACATCTGGGCGCAACAATACTCGAGCAAAGTTTATGCGCTGCTGCTGTCCTAGTGACAACAAGCTGGCCCACTCTTTCGACTCTGACAGGCTGTGCTGCTCGAGCAAGTGACCAAGGTTGACCTGCCGAAGAGCTTTCTCCAGGTCAGAGTTGCTGATGAAGCTTTCCACGTGAGGGTATAACAACTGGTCCCTCAGTGACCCCAGGAACATGTACGGCTTCTGCGGCATGAAGAAGACATGCTGGCGCTTACAGAGCTGAAGCGTCCCTCGACCATCTGTCCACAGGCCAGCTGCGGCACGGAGCAAAGAGCTCTTGCCGATGCCACTCTCACCGACAATGAGCAGGGATTGGTTGCTCACCAACTCGAAGGACAAATCGTGGCAAAGGGTTTGCTGCAGGATGCCTGCGCGAGGTGGGGTGCGGAGAGTCACTTTGCAGAAGCGGAGCATGGCTGTGTCGCTGGGGCCGGGCTCGGCACTTGCGATGCACTGCACGCCAGCAAGCCCTGCGGCGCGAGACATCTGCATCTCATTCCGGCACTTCCTCAGGGACAGCTCGAGATCTTCCAGCCGGCGCACGCGGACCCCAACATCCGTCAAAGACTCCAGCTTGTCCATGATAAGCGTCATGGCTCCCAAGATGATATTGAAGGCCATACTGGCCTGGGAGATGACCCCAAACTGAACCTCACCACGCAGATAGGCAGGGCCTACAAGGAGAGGTGCCACTGCAAAGGTAGCCCAGTGGAACGAGCGGTTGAACATGCCGAAGCCAGAAGTGACCAATACGCTCTTGTACACTGTTTGAAGCAGTCCAGAGAATAAGGTGTTAAACTTGGACCACTCTGCCTCGCCACCCTCAAAGAAAGCCACAGACTCGGCATTCTCCCGCACGCGAATCAAGTCATAGCCTTCACAAGATGCAGCGACGCAAGGGGCAGCTACGGCGGCTACGGCTAAGGCTTTGGCTGCTTGGCTTCAGAAGACTCTGCCAAAGTCACCCAAAGACAGTCTCAGGCAAGTCGCGAAGGCCGGCTTCCTGCTTGACCCGCTGGAGCTGGTAGAATCCCAACCAAGGTCCAAAGCCCTTCGTTGCAACGATGGTGCCCACTATCGAGTACACCAGGACCCCATAGCAGGCTGCAGGGGAAATGGAGTACAGGATGGCCGCAAAACTCGTTATGTTCAGGACCGTCCTGCTGCAGGGTCGCATCAACAAATGCATGGCACGTTTCTGTCGGGGATGGCTGAGACATGCAACAGTCGCAGCCGGTCCTGACTACGTCTTGCACCAAATGGACAGCAATGCCAACAAACTCGTGCACGTCCTGAGGTTGCCAGGTGGCTTTTTGTAGCTGCAGCTGTCAATGAGCCGAGCTACACCAGACACATGCGCAACCGCGCAACCTTGCCTGGCAGATGCGTTGATCAGGGTTGTCGATTTCTCCGGTTAGTGTCAGCCGGTAGAACGGATTGCCTTCACAGTAACCTGGAGCTGCCAGATACAATCCAGCGAAACGCCTGGTCAAAGAGGCACGCCATGTCATCTTCAGCATGCCTGAGTTTTGTGTTTTGTTGGGAGACTCCTAATATCACTCCTACTGCAACAAGCAATGGCCAGTTGGTGCCGAGCTTCCAGATGTGTACTCATGAAGTGCGATGATTGGACTGATGAATATGATCACCGCCCCCACCATCCATAGTCCATGGTAAAATGCATCAATATTCTTCTCCTGGAGCGCAGTCATGTATTCTTTTTGTACGCTGCTGTAGTACACGATGGCACCAATTTCGAGCAGCAGCAAGACGAACCTGCCAGCTTGGCATCTCTAGCTTGGGATGGTCCTCTGCCTTCTGTTAAGTTTAAGCTGGTCCCAGATGAAAAAGACTTCCAGGCAATTACCAGGAAGCACTGCCACACTCAAGCTAATCGCTCGTCGGCCCATCGCAGAGTCACGGAAGAACATCGCCGCCAGCATCAGCGCAGCTCCTGAGAAAGTCGGGCAGCAAAGGAAGCCATTGCAAAACAGCGAAGAGAACTCCGCCCGGCGCGCTCCTAGGACCGTGCTCTTCGGCTTCACGTCTTGCCATGTCTCGGCCGGCGCGCCTCTCTCGAGGAGATCCTGAAAGGCACAAACCACAAGCGAGATGCACTGCGCTCGTTGGGCGGCTCGGCTCCTCCTGCTCCGATTCTTTGCCGATTACGGGCACCACCTCGAGGTCTTCGTCACGAGACTTCTTGCCGAAGCGCATCCTGTTCCGCCACCTGCAACGGAGAGACGGAGAGTGCTGCAGAGCGACAGAGCGACCGAACCTGCCCCCCGGACCCCCGAAGGCCTCGCGAGGCGGTTCGGCCCAAGCAGCTGGACCCCCACCCGGGAGAGCATTGCTAACACGCGAACCAGAAAAGCTCCGGCAGGAAATCGAAATCCGAAGCAAAAGTCACAAGAAGTGTGCGGGCGTAGATATGCAAGCGAAATGCACTTGCGAGATGTTGCGAGGTGGATTTGATGTGAACGGACCCAGATGGGTCCTAGTAGGGACAGCTCGGGCCCGCGCTCCGGGAGCCCTTGGAAAGCTTCGACTGGCTCCGGGACTCTGCTTTGTAGCCGAAGCTGCCAAAAACAAACCTTGTGGAATCGAATGAATCGCATCATCGCACACTGCGACAGGGCTCGTGTAGATTCTTGTGGACTCATTGCGAACGAGTCCTCACCCCTCGACAGCCTCTCCGGGTAAGGCCGATGCTCTTGTGATTGCTCAGGCTTAGCTGAACCCTGTGATTGAGGACCTTTGCTGGAGGCAATGTAGCTGGAGCAGGCAGAACTGAGCTAAGATTTTCGTCCGAGACACGGCTACGTGACGCTGTACCCGAAGGACCAGGACGCCTCCGAATGGGACTTAAAGGAAGCGTGTCGGGCGGCATTTTTACGTGGACCCGGCCTCCATGGAGGTGCCTGGTCGAGCTGTGGGGTCTGTGCCCGGGAAGCCTCGAGTCGGTGGCAAAGCCTTCCACCCCCACTTTCCTCATTTAAGTTCTCTCATAAGGCTTACAGTAGGCTTAGCAACAAAGCCATTGCCAAGAGGTGTGTCAGCCATCTGCCCCTTTTGCCCATAACGGACTGCCAGTGTCATACCCCGCATCACATCACACAGCCTGCGAGGAGCTTTGCTCAGAGCGGATGGCGCTGGCGGCGGACCTTGCAAGATCTCACTTCCCATCGTTGCGTACATCATGAGCGAGCTCATCTGTCTATCGGAAAGAACTTGCCTTTGTTCTGACTGCTGGCAAAGGCAAGCTCATCAGGGAGCGCATTGCAGCCGCTACGACTCTGTCCGGCAGGTATATCGGCCACAGAGGCCTTTTGCTTAGCGGCATTGGTGTCGCATGGCTGCCCTACGCTGCATCTCGCCGCCCCTCGTCTGAACGGAGTGAGCACTAGTGTGCAAGTGCCCTGAGGCTTGGCGTGACCAGAGCATCCTCGGAGAGCAATTCCAGAAAGATGACGGAGCTAGATAGACTCTACACCCGTAGCGTTAGTAATTGACCTCCGCCCGCTGCTCTAATCGCGCAATAATCACGTTATCATTCGGCGACCATCACATCATGGTGGCACTTTCTGCGGCACACATTATGGGAAAGTGTATGCTCACAGTCGCAACAGATGTCAGCAACGAGATTTACTGTAAGCCTTGTCCAGGAGACGGCCGGATGTGTTGGTCGCGCGTGGCATCTCATCCTAGGAATGCGCGGAGCCTTCCGAATCCGATGCAATGGCCACCTTGGCTTTGGCCTGCAGCGGTATACCATCTAGTCGCTTCAGCCAGCTCCATAGTCTCGCAAAGATGCTGAGGCAGCGCAAATCAAGGCAGGACATCGGACACCACGAAAACATGTGCCCTCTGCGTTCCGGCCTTGGCCTTCGCTTTGCCAGCTCCATTTGGCGCGGGCTTGGTAAATTCGTCGCCCTGACCAAGGCTGGTACTAGTAGCGAACACCATCAGTCCCAGTCGACCTAGTATCTGTCTGATTCCCCACTGCCTTCCTGACATGTTCTGTTGCGTGGACTCGAGTTTCGACTCCCCCTTGCAACAGGCATGCCTCGGATTCGGGTTGGAACGGTGCCCGCAGAAAAAGCGCTGGCTCCTTTCTCATGAAAGCGAGCCACCGACATGGCCTTCGACTTTGTTTTCGCTCGTAGAGGCATGAAGTGACACGAAGGTTTTCGACCTGACCTCCCGTGCTTGCAGGTCGGTCTTCGCTGCGTGGCGTCGCCTTTCTTTCTGCAGGTCCCTGTGTGGAGGCATCCTTTTTGGATGAGGTTGGGGCAGTGGAACGTCTGCCCAGGTGTCTGACCGTATTAGTCAAAGGTGTTGGTAGGAACCCGAAGTGCCAGTGATGATACCACATGCTCTCGAAACACATGTCGTGTTGAGCTGATTTCTTTAACTTCAATTAAAGTCGCGAACCACTCCTTTTGAACCACTTGTCCTACACATGCACACCCATACATGTTGTTGTGCGTGCATGTTCGGCTAGGGTCTAGATGCTAGAGGCAGGCACTGGCCAGACAAGAACAAAAGCAGACCCCGAAAGAAGAAAGAAAAGAGGATGAAGGTCCTACGGGACAGGACAGTAAAGTGGTAGAGTGCAGTGTAGCCGTAGGCAACATGTTCACGCTTGCACGATCGGGACATATGCTTGTCTCAAAGGCCAAGCATGTCAAGGAGCTTTCTCAAGTCTGAAAAGTCGTGAGGACGAGACGGGTTTGAGGGATGAGAGTTTAGGGTTGATTCCGGAAAGGCGTGCAGTGCGCAGAGTCGTTGTCCGATTGTGCGACATTTGCATTGACATTAGTCATTAGTCCTTGTCCTTGTCAACCGAAGTGAGCATCCAGAAACCCCGTGGGACCAGGATCGTGGCCAACAGGCCACGAGTCCGAGACATCAGTGCATTGATCGTATTCCTCTTTTTGGTTGCTTTGGTGGTTTAGTTTATTCCAATTCTTATCGAATGACATCAGACAACAACGCGAGTGACGATGGAACCCGTTCCTACGATAAATCTCTCGCCGATTCCCAGTCACTATTCTGTAGTGTCAAATTATGGCAGCCCGAATGCTGCACATAGCAATCGAAGGTACGCTTCTAAACGGGCGACGACAGGATAAGAACAGTAAGTGACAAGTTCACGACACATCTGGATCACAGCGAGAAAGCGGCCTTGTTGCGGCGCCCTATGCCAATAGCCTCGCAGGTCACTTGCAGATCTGCAGCCTACTGCCAAGCTGTGCCCCGACGGTCCAGTCTCCTTCTGAACTTTCGTGGGCCGGTCGGGCGAGGGCGTCTTGATCCGCGCTTTCGTCCTGCCGCCCATGGCCTCGGGAAAGAGCATGAGAATCTGGAGGCCTCCGGCCCGAAGCGAGAAGCCGCACCTTGAACTTGCTGTCCGCTTGACCAACAACGACGGGACCCTCTGGAGACCACGATCTGGAGCGATCTCGCTGCTCCTCCTAGAGAGGGACGTTTCGGAGATGCAAAGCTTCTCCAAGGCTGTTCCGCCACGCCCGCCTTCTTTTTCTGCTGCGCCATGGCCAGACCCGGGAACCGGATGGCCATTGACAACTTTCGGGCGGCTTCAATTCCTTGACTTGACACTTGGGCGCACTTGACTTAAAGATGGCCGCATTTCTGTCCTTCCTTGTGAGGGAAGGGTGCAGCCGCAGGGCGTTCTTTCTTGAGTCGCGCTTCCTTCTCCTCCTCCGTCTCGTTCGGAGGCGCCTCCTGCTTCTTCCTTGACGGGCTTGGAGAACGTGCACGACCTGACAAGCACTTAAAGTCTGACATGAGCGTCACTGCCAGATCCCAGGCCGAAACCTGAAGCAACCTTCTCGTAGAACTGGAGCCACTTCTCCCAGTGCTCGTCTGCTTTCAGCGTATGTGAGTTTCCGACGACCACCCTCAGACCGGGCAGCCATGCCGAAAGAACATGGACACCCGACCATCGGCATCAAGGGCACATTCCTCGGCGTGCTCGCGTGAGCATCACATTTAGCCGCCGCCAGTCGGCTAGGAAACCGACGTTTCCAATCCTGCGCAGGGCAGGTACCCGTCGAGGCAGGAAGCACTTACATGGAGGATGCTTGGGGCCAAGGCAGACGCCCCAGTTGAAACCCATCTCTACTGAGACAATCATCTGCTGAATCAAGCCTCTGTTGCAAACATGCCCACCCTGCGCCTGTTGCAGCGCACGGCGGAGAAGATTATCAAGTCCTTCTCTCGACCCTGGAACTGATCCACAGAAGCTATCCTCAGCTAGCAGAATGTTGTGATTCGGCCCGAGCAACACCAGAGTCCTGAAAATATTAGACCGTGCACATGCGAATCGCCGAGGCTCTCCAAGAGGTCTGGGTCCATCCCTTCAGGAATCACTTGCTTGCACATCCTCACGACTTGCGGAAAGATGAAAGCAAATGCTTGGTTCTCCAGCCTGCGAGCCCCTAAAGCAAGGAATCAAGCAGCGCACCATAGGGCACCCGAAACGTCAAGCGGAGTTTTGCAGGCTGCAGGCTCCGTGGTTCCAAGCTGCCTCCTACACGCGACGACGACTTTTTTGCCTTCGAATTGCATGAGACGCCCGCAAACAGAAAGATTTTAGACTGAAAACGGTGCGAGCAGAGTGTCTGAGAGGAAGCATTCTCTTGGTCGGTTGCTTTGGTAGCAAGTCTCTCCAAGTGGGTACACCCGCACCCCGTCGCGAGGTGAATCGAATCTTGCTGTCGCGATTCTTCTGTCGCCTTCTCTACAGCGATGACTGTCGCACACCGCCCGAATCCCCGGGAAATGCCACGGCACTGCAATGCAGAATGAGAAGAGTGGTGCTTGGGCAAACCCCGTTCTTAATGAGCAAATTTCTGATTCGATTGCAAAACACGGTCATCTCATG